GTCCAGAAGTAGTAAAGTCTCCCAGCAACAACCACTAGCCAGGGTAATTTAGCACCATCCCTGCAATCAGCACTACGCGGGGTCCACATTGCGCAGCACCACGGACGTCATCGAGCTCCCAAGCGCTGCCACCTGTATCGAAGCAGGCACGTCGGTGTAACTCTGAGTCGCCACCAGCGTGTTGTTCTCCGTGGCTGACGTGCGATAGGTCTCCAGCACACATTCCTGCGCCGTGTCAAACAGCACGAAATCCTCGAATTGGATCGTGGCAGAGAGCGTGGTGTTGCGCTGGTTCACAATGAAAATCGACACAAAGTGCTGGTCGGGTTGGAAGAAGGCCGCAATGCAGTGATGGCACCCATCCGATGTGTCGATTCGAAGGGGCAGGCTTCCCCTCGGCGCCCCGCGCACAAACTGCTGCAGCATGTAGAGCTTCTTGGAGATCACCAGATCCAACGGCTTGACTTCCGTGTCGTTCAACCGGTAGTGCCTGATCGCCAACAGCCCCCACTTCAGGAAGTAATCAGGGTTGGTCCCCACTATCGCGCTCACCGCCTGCCAGAAGGTCCAAGCGGAAGCCCCCATGATGTTCACAGCCTGCACTATCTGCCGCGCTGTGAACAGCATCACGCCGACATCATTCCCGGTCACCCACATCGGTCCGACCTCCGACATCCACACCTCCTTGCCCAGCCCGGTCGCCATGCGGTGCATTCCCACCATCACCCCTTCCATGTACTGCCGCGTATCTGTTGTGTTGGGCGGCGGCGGGATGTACCCGTGCACGTTGAACCGGAACAGACCGGCTTTCACCGCAGCCGGGAACTTGTAGGCATACCGGAGAGTCGCACCAACGAAACTGTCAAACCCCGCAACTTTCGTCGGCAGCTTGCGCTTTTTGAGGGTCGCGGTGAGAAGCTGAATAAGCGTGCTCATTTCCTGCGGATTGAAGTTGCACCCCTCGCCCTTGGCCCCCTGAATCCACCACCCCTCCAGCGCCTCATTCGCCGGATTCATGGTCGAGAAAGTCACGTTCCAGTGCGTGCGGTAGTGCTCGATCACCGACGCTTGATACTCCGTGTACGCCTGAAAATACTCGGGCTTTAAGTTGCACTTGTACTGTTCCGCCCCAGCGGTGTCCCCGCTGACCGTCATCCACCAGGGCGGCGAGCCCGAGATCGCCTCAACCTCGTCCACATTCCGCGCCAGGGCGGCGAGCATCGTCTTTCTCAGCCGCCAGTCCGCCGTCCAGTCGTAGGGGCCGTTTGGCTGGACGCGGAAGCCGGGAAGAATGCGGGTTTCCCAGGCAGGATTGAGGAACTGGGGGCTGTTGGTGTAGTTGGCGCTGCCGCCTATGGTGTAGCGGGCGAGGTTGAGCCCGACACCCTTGGCCTTGTCGAAAAGGAGATCTATGATGAGCGTGAACTGGTCCTCTGGCAGCTTGCCTATGTAGTTGGCGAACCTGCAGGGGGGGTGGAACAGGGGGCAAAGGGCACGGAGCACGGGGTACGGGACAATGAGGGAACACGGGGCGAGGGGCAAGGGGCATGGGGCAAGGGGCAAGGGGCATGGGGCAAGAGGCAAGGGACAAGGGGCAAGGGGCAAGGGACATAGAGCGTGGGGTATGGGACATAGAGCGTGGGGTATGGGACATAGAGCGTGGGGTATGGGACATAGAGCGTGGGGTATGGGACATAGAGCGTGGGGTATGGGACATAGAGCGTGGGGTATGGGACATAGAGCGTGGGGTATGGGACATAGAGCGCGGGGTATGGGACATAGAGCTACGTTGCCAAATACGCTCTGGGTAGGGTGGCGTACCACGTATATACGATTGCGTACGTACGTGGTACGCTAATACGCTTCGAATTCGTGAAAAAAACGCGCGGGCAGCCCGGCGAAAAAAAAAAATCGGAATTGAAAAAAAATTGCGACGGTTATTAGGGCTTCGCGACTGGTTACGCGACCAAGCACATCGCCCAACCCACGTCTGAAATTCAAATTTCAGAATCCATACCTCCCACCACCCCAACCACACACCACCCCACCAAACCTCTCATATCCAACCACCCCTCTCAAATGTCCAGCACGGCATGTGAGCATTTACTCGTTGACGCCTTCGTATCCTTCATTCGTTTCTCTCCTCCTCAATTTCATTCCCGAGCTCTGATCTCCCGTTTTCCTCAAGCAGTTTACCGTTCCTTAGTCGCGCCCCATGGCGTCGAACTCCACCCCTCCTAGCGCGACAAGCAATGTAGCTTCTTTTCAAGCGTCTAGTAGTGCGATCGACACGCAGCCTGTTGAGGCTGGCCTTTCGAACCCCATTCTGAAACATTTTCTTATTCCCCCCCACACCAAAGGCAATCCCAAGCTTTGTAAGTTTTGTGGCTTCAAGTTTGAGGGCGGAACCACTCGCTGCGCAGTTCACCTCGCCAAATGGAAAGGGCAAGATGGACGCCCTGTCAGGCTTTGCAAGGACGTGTCCCCGAAAGTCCGTGAAGAAGTGCGTGCCATGTACGAAAACAAGGAGGAAAACAAGAGCATGAAACGAGGGGCGGCTGCTGCAGCACTCGACTCTGTGCTGGGCGCGGTCACTGCTTGTGCGGAGAAGAAGGGGAAGATAACAGAATTCTTCGGCGACGAGGCAACGTGCGCCAAGGAGGACGCGGATAACGCGCTATGCCTAATGATCTCGGCGCTGAAGCTTCCAGAGCGCATCGTGGATGATCCGGTCTTCCGCTACGCGGTCCAGTGCTTTGCGCGCGCGGGACCGGGGTATGTTCCCCCGAAGAGGGGCTACGTTGGAGGGGCGGGCTTGAAGAAAGTGCGGCAGAAAATGGAGGCAGCGCTCGCCCCCGTTGCCGCGAGCTGGAAGCGGGACGGTGTCACCGTGTCGTCGGACATGATGACCGACCGTTGTGGCCGCCCGCAGGCCAACATACTCCTTGTCAACGACTCCGGCGCAGTTTTCGAGCAGGCCGTGGACTGCAACATGGAGTCGAAGACGGGGGGGTACATCGCCAGCCTTCTCCGCCCCGTCATTGATAAGGTGGGGCCGGAGAATGTGGTGGCGGTCTGCACCGATGGCGGCAGCAACTATGCATCGGCAGCGCGGAAGATTGCGGGCACATGGCCGCACATTGAGCATGTGCCATGTGCCACGCATGTCCTGGACCTGTTAATGGAAGATGTGGGCAAAATGGGATGGGCGAAGGGGCTTGTGGAGAAAGGAGGGGAGATGATTACCTTCGTGCGCAACCACCACTTCACCCGTGCCTATATGAAGAAAGTGGGGGGGAAGCAGGTGCTCAAGCCTGCGGGAACCAGGTTCGGGACACAATACATAGCCATGGCCCGGCTATGTGAGGTGAGGAGTGGGCTGGCGGCGATGGTGCTCAGCGACGAGTGGAAGGTGTGGGCAGCGGGGGACAAGGATAGGAAGACTGCAGCCGAGAAATTCAGGGCTGCTGTGATGGATGAGGAGTGGTGGGGGGTGGCGGAGTTCTTTTCCTCTCTCATGGCGGTGCCATTCAAGGCCATGCGGGCCACGGACTCTTCCGCGAAAGGCATGATGGGTAAGCTGTATGACATTATGCTACAGCTTACCGAGGACATCAATGACAAGCTCGACGCTTCAGGCGACTTCTTGACTCGGACAGAGAGGGCAGACATCACCAAGATTGTGAAGGACAGGTGGGACAACTCCCTTGCCTGCCCCATGCATGTGGTTGGCCGGATCCTGAATCCGGCCAACCAGGAGGAGGGAATTTTCAGGAACGATGTGGAGTGCACGAGGGTGTTCAAGGACTACATCGAGCGCCACTATGACCACGTCACCTTCAGGCGCGGCAAGGATGGTGCCCCTCGCCGCGCCTCCCTTGTGCTGCAGGAGGCATTGCTGGCCTACATCAACTTGGAGGGCAGTTTTGGCAAGCCGAGCGCCATAGCTGCAAGGGAGGCAGTGAAGAAAGGGGAGATGAGCATGGTGCAGTGGTGGTCGTGGCACAGCACCGAGTACCCTGAGCTTGCCACCCTCGCATGCCGGATTCTCACTCAGCCCGTCTCGGCTTCTTCATGCGAACGTGGCTGGGCGCAGTGGGAAGGCGTCCACACCGCCCGCCGCAACCGCCTCGGGTCCGCCAAGTGTGCGGACCTGGTTTACATTGCGCACAACTGGAACGTTGTGCGCAATTGGTACAACAAGGATGGGGCCAGCACGGTTGTGCCCGGGAACATCCCGGATGCCCCTATCCCCCGCGGCTACAACATGGACGAGGAGGAGGAGGATGACCTGCTGGGGGGGGGAAGGAGATGATGCAGTGCTGGCGGATGAGTATGGGGAAGGGGTGGTGGTGGAAAAGCCCCGCAAGGAAATAGGCTGTGGGGAAGCTCGCTAGAGGGTGGGGATTATGTGGATGAACTATGTATTTCTGGATATTTATGAAATAAAATATTGACATGTGTTGTTGTCGGCCTGAACCCCCCCCCTGAAACAGGTTTTTTTATACCTGCCCGGGAAAAAAAGTTTTAGCTGCCCGCCAGCGTATTTTTTGCGTATCAGCAGTACGCCAGCCTTGGCGTACCGCGTATATACCAAGCGTATAATACGCTAACGTATTATACTCGGTACTCGTATTTAGCAACGTAGACATAGAGCGTGGGGTATGGGACATAGAGCGTGGGGTATGGGACATAGAGCGTGGGGTATGGGACATAGAGCGTGGGGTATGGGACATAGAGCGTGGGGTATGGGACATAGAGCGTGGGGTATGGGACATAGAGCGCGGGGTATGGGACATAGAGCGTGGGGTATGGGACATAGAGCGTGGGGTATGGGACATAGAGCGTGGGGTATGGGACATAGAGCGTGGGGTATGGGACATAGAGCATCGGGCATGGGACATAGAGCATCGGGCCTGGGACATAGAGCATCGGGCATGGGACATAGAGCATCGGGCATGGGACATAGAGCATCGGGCATGGGACATAGAGCATCGGTCATGGGACATAGAGCATCGGGCATTGGAGCATCGGGCATGGGGCATGGAGCATTGGGCATGGGGCATGGAGCATCGGGCATGGGGCATGGGGCATGGAGCATCGGGCATGGGGCATGGAGCATCGGGCATGGGGCATGGGGCATGGAGCATCGGGCATGGGGCATGCCAGCTAAGCAGATAACCATGTCAGTCAAGCAACTCACCATGCCAACGAGGTGCCCCAGCCGTGCCACATCTGTCCGTTCCAGTCAGGGGCGATGGTGATGGTGGAGGTGGCTGCGCGGCGAGGAAAGGGAATCAATGAGAAAGAGATAAAGGGAAGGAAAGAAGACGTTAGGCCAGTCACTCACTGCACGACTGACCATTCCAATTATGGGCGATGGTGATGGTGATGGTGATGGTGATGGTGATGGTGATGAGAGAGGGGTCTGCGAGGCGAAGGAAGGGAATGAAACGGAAGGGAAAGGAATGGGAGATTAAGGGACAGAGAGCCATCCGCGCCAGTTGGGGGCAATGATGATGGGTGGAGGGGTCTGTGAGGCGGAGACAGGGAATGGACGTGACAGACACGATAGGGGAAGAACTGGTAAGGGAGATAAAGGGAACGGAGAAGACGTTGGGCCAGTCTCGCAACGTCTGTCCGTTCCACTAGGGGAGATAGTGATGATGACGGCGATGGCGATGGTGATGGTGGTGGCAATGGTGATGGCGATGGCGATGGCGATGGGGGTGGTGCTGGTGATGGTGATGGTGATAGTGATGGTGATGGTGATTGGTGATAGTGATGGTGATGGTGATGGTGATGGTGATAGTGATGGTGATGGTGATGGTGATAGTGATGGTGATGGTGATGGTGATGGCGATGGTGATGGTGATGGTGATGGCGATGGTGGAGGGGTCTGTGTCTGCGAGGCGAAGATAGGCCGAAGATAGGCGAAGATAGGCGAAGAAAGGACATGAAGGGGAAGAAAGAGAATGAAGGAAAATGAAAGTAAGGAGGAGAGAAGAAGCAGCGCCCGCCAGTTCCCTACGAGGAAAAGGAATATGTCCAATGGCAATCCGGGGCGATGGCGCTGTGGGGAAAGGATAGGGGACGAGAGGAGAGGAGACGAGAGGTGAGGAGACGAGAGGTGAGGAGACGAGAGGTGAGAGAGACGGAGAGGAGAGGAGACGAGAGGTGAGGAGACGAGAGGTGAGGAGACGAGAGGCGAGGAGACGAGAGGTGAGGAGACGAGAGGTGAGGAGACGAGAGGTGAGGAGACGAGAGGTGAGGAGACGAGAGGTGAGGAGACGAGAGGAGAGGAGACGAGAGGTGAGGAGACGAGAGGTGAGGAGACGAGAGGAGAGGAGACGAGAGGTGAGGAGACGAGAGGTGAGGAGACGAGAGGCGAGGAGACGAGAGGTGAGGAGACGAGAGGTGAGGAGACGAGAGGTGAGGAGACGAGAGGTGAGGAGACGAGAGGTGAGGAGACCGAGAGGAGAGGAGACGAGAGGTGAGGAGACGAGAGGTGAGGAGACGAGAGGAGAGGAGACGAGAGGTGAGGAGACGAGAGGTGAGGAGACGAGAGGCGAGGAGACGAGAGGTGAGGAGACGAGAGGTGAGGAGAACGAGAGGAGAGGAGACGAGAGGTGAGGAGACGAGAGGTGAGGAGACGAGAGGCGAGGAGGCGAGAGGTGAGGAGACGAGAGGTGAGGAGACGAGAGGTTGAGGAGACGAGAGGTGAGGAGACGAGAGGTGAGGAGACGAGAGGAGAGGAGAGGAGCCGAGAGGAGAGGAGAGGAGAGGAGAGGAGACGAGAGGTGAGGAGACGAGAGGTGAGGAGACGAGAGGAGAGGAGAGGAGACGAGAGGAGAGGAGAGGAGAGGAGAGGAGAGGAGACGAGAGGTGAGGAGACGAGAGGTGAGGAGACGAGAGGTGAGGAGAGGAGACGAGAGGAGAGGAGAGGAGAGGAGAGGGGAGGAGAGGAGACGAGAGGTGAGGAGACGAGAGGTGAGGAGACGAGAGGTGGGGAGACGAGATGCGAGGAGACTAGAGGTGAGGAGACAAGAGGGAGAGAACGGACGAGAGGGAGAGAAGAGAAGGGACGAGAGGGAGAGTATAGACGATGGGGAATGTTGAGCACATGGTTGGCCTCGTGGACGGTGACCCCATGCATTGTCATGCATTATCCCCATGGGCGCTGATGTCATGCTGTGCACGTGTCTCCTTTTGAGTCGACTCGGAAAGCACTCATCATGCTGGGTGGGTGGGTGGCCTAGGAGGAGAGAAACGCGAGAAGGAGCGGATCAGGATTCCAGGAGAGGAAGCTGGCGTGACCCTGACATGCTCCTGCTGCCTTTCTCAAGGACACAAGGAGGCGAGGATGCAAGGAAGGAGACGAGGAGAGACAGGAGGACACAAGGAGGAGTTTTGAAGCGTATCAAGACACAAAGAGGGTCGAGCGAGGAAGTGCAGAATTCAAGTTCCAACAAGGGCATGACTAAGGTGATCTACACTCACCGCGATGCTGGCTATAACGAGTACAGAAAATATTGATAATCCCTTTGCCCCCATTGCCCTTATCCCCTCCCCCCACCTTTCTTTGCCCGAAATGCCCCCCATTCCCCCCCTTTGTCCACATTGTACCCCATTCTCTCCCCCCCCCCCCTTTCCCCACATTCCCTCCATTCCCCCCTGTTTGCCCCCATTGCCTCCCCGTTGACCGCAACTTGATCCAGTAGGAGCATCGCCCCCCTTCCCGGTTCATCCAGTTCTTGAAGGACGTTGGTACAACTCTATATCGCGGATATCTCACCTCCAGATCGACACACGCCAATAATCTCATTATCAGGTGTCAGCCGCGCCTCGCTCCCCAGGGGCGGCGGAGCGCTTCCCTCCCCATCCCCCCCGTCTGGCCGCCCCCCCCCGTCCGAAGATGGGGCAGGCGCGGGAACTTGCGCGATCTCTGCGCCCGCAGAAGATAGGCTTTGCGCGGTACTAGTGGCTTGGCGGTACACGGAGGAAGAGGAGGAGGCGGCGGCGGAAGTCACGCGCGAGGGTGTTCCGCCTTGCGCCGTCGTCGTCATGCGCGGCAACCAGCACCCCTGCGCCGGCCACAGCAGCATCCATTCCGCGTCGCACTCGCCCGCACCGGCGCCGGCGGCGGCGGAAGCCCCCAGGGAGCGGCCGCGCACAGCAGGCTCCTCCCCATCCGCGTCATTCGGGAAAAGCTGCATCCCCTACTACAAGCCGAGCAGAGTGCCGCCCGAACACGTGGCGCTGACGTGGCGACCATCGGAACCGCTCGTGCGCTGCGTAATGGGGAGAACCGACGGGGAAAATCAACGGCGGGTGCCACGCGCGGGGAGGCGGAGTGTCGACGCTGGTACTGTTCGAACCGCCCGCGGTTCCTGTTCACGGGCGGAACTGAGACAGGTGGTAACTGCGCGCTGATAGGAGCGGCGCGGGTGGGTGAGAAAGTCGAGTGGGGAGGGGAGGAAGCGAGGAGAAGGAGTATTAGGAACGGGAGTGACGATCTACCGGACCTATTAGGGACCATAATTTTACTCTGTTACTAATATGAAGGCCACCGCCCAGAATAAGCTCTAATTTTACATCTCGAACAGGTTACGAGCTGCAAACTTCGAGGGACGGCGCCGCGCAGCTCTCAATCTGCGTGGTGGCTCACTCGCTTGCTTCTGCTCAAACCCTATTATGTCGTCATTTGACTTCACACCGCAGCTACTGCCGACTCAATGCATGCGGACTGAACGCCGTCAACATGCACGGCTCCAAAATTACGTCCCAAAATCACGGAAACATTTCAAGACGCATCCGACTGACCTGAATGGCTAAACGGACGGAGCTTCGACGGCGCTCCCCATCGCCCAGAGCAACGAACCCCGTCTAGGAGCGTCGTGCCGGCGAACTGGCGCGGAAATGGCCGCCCGAACGTGGCCCCAACCACTTGCCACCACCCTGTTGCTTGCTGTCATGTTGCCGTCCAACCGGCTGATCTGACTGGCGGGCTCGGCTGCGAAACATTAGGAGTTGCCACTTGCGCGTATTCGACGACAGGTTTCTCGCCTTGCGATTGTTTCTGGGATGATCCGAGATGCATCGTTCAGCTGCTCGAACGGTCGCAAGGCGAAGCTTTTGCACGACAGTGGTCGTTGCGAGTTACCACAAGTAGCTCTCGCAATCCTCCTTGTGCTCTCTTGGACCCTGGGTTGATCGCTACCCGTCAAAAACGAATCTGCAGAGGATTGATCGCGGAAATGTGGTGGTAGTTTGAACCGAACCGACCGACTGTGCATGCTGAACCGAGCCGAGCCGAATCAGGTGCTAGAAAGTCTGCCAGCTTCGCTGGCAGTCTGCCAGCGTGGGCTGACAGTCTGCCAGTTCGAGTTGCCACTCGCCGTCCGTCAAACATCCGGCTTTCTGTTAGGTTCGCCTGAAAGTTGTCAGGTTGCAAAAAAAACGAGGTAGTGCGAACTCTCGCTGTAGAAACTTGGTAGTTACAGCTTGTCGCACGCCCTCGCGAACCCCAGGGTTTCTTTGGTTGTCAAGCAGTCAGGACGCCGTCACAATTGCGACATCGATCCTGCGGGAAAGATTTTGTTCCGAGTAGTACAGTAATTCGCTGTGTCTTGTATCCCCGTTTTCGTTAAAGTTCGTGAAGACCCGACACAAGTCACCTGAAACGCGATGTCCCTTCCAGATCGATCTGTTACCGCACTCAAATCTACGTAATGCATTTAAAACTTTTAAAAAGGCTTCTAACCCCGCTAAACTATCGAACCTGAGACAATCGCGACACATCTGGCTCAGAGGAGATCGATTCTCGCAGATTCGGTGTGTCACCGCGATCCTCCTCGATGTCGCAATTGTGACGCGTCCTCAGAGACCCACCTTTGCATGCTTGTTTTGCAGCATTCAACGTCCGTACGGAAGTACCTGCAGTCAGCTCCAACAGCAGATAGTCCGACTAATCTCTGAGAACCGACCTTGAAGTCAAGCTGAACCAAGCTTACGTGGCTTCACTGTTCAGCTTCCTTTTCAGAGACCGCAAGAACGAGCGAATGTCAACCCGACTCGAAAACGCGCGCTGCGTTGATTGCCAACCTTTCTTGCTTCTTGATTCGAATCCAACCTGCCGGACACACATCGCGAAAAAGGACTTGCCTGTAGGCTGCGGGAAACTTGCAAGAAAGTTACTTTTTGAATACTTTGGTTTTGCAGCTTGGCAGTGATGGACGAAGGTTGCAGAAAACCAAGTCACTGGAAAGTTGCAAAAAAGTTGCATTTCTGCAACTTTCCCGCAACACAACCGCAACTTATCGGACACTCTTTGGACACATTGCGTATACATTTCAGTCACATGTATGCAGTTTCACCACCTGCCACGTGGCATGCGTACAGTTTCGACTTCGAAGTGTACGTACGCTGGTACGTTCGCGAAGATATTTTGCCACGCAAGCAAAGATATTTCTGCCAGGTGTCATTCTCGATATGTGAACGGCAGCTTGCCATGTGGACCAATCAAACAAGCTGTAGGTTCGTGCGAAAATTGAATACTACAGGGCATCGTTTTGTCTGAAAGCGAAGCATGCGTTCTATGGGTTGCTTGTTACAGGTTTAGAAGGTATACTATCTATATTATGTTGCACATTTGCATACATATTCAACAGTATACACAGTGCACAATCTAGTCGGAAAATAACAACGCTAAACCAACGTCTACATAGCTTCTGGTTAGATGAACACGAGGCGAATTTACACAAGTTTTAAAGCCTGCAAACAGGAATACGACAAAGAGTTAAGACATTGTAAGTAGTACGCTTGTTCTTTACCTCGTTGACCTACCATACGCGGGCCTTGACTTCAACTAATAACATTGCCGTGAATGTGCCAGATAGCTACAGAGTCTTGATAAGAACCCGGCAAAAAGTATAAAACATCAAATCAAATCTCGGGACTTCCATTATCCCTGCAACATTCTTGATACCACACACAGAAGAACACTAACAGAACAAAGACAGATACACGTTAGCGTTAGAGGCTGGATTACATATAACTTGACCAGACAAATGCAGGATGTTATGAGACACGTGCAAGGTGAGGACGTCGATTTAAATAAGATGCAAGCTGAACCAGCGAGAATAGGTGAACGAGTGGAAACAAAAATACGAGTTACAACCTAAGGCACACGCATGGGAAAATGTTAGCTTGATCTCGAGTTACAAAAAGCATGTGTCGCACACCTTCGGCGCTTTTCGTGCGGAACCCGGCTCTCGCAGCTAGTCGCTGGTGCCACGTTCTCCGCGTGAAGAAAACGCTGCTGTGTAATCTGTAAAAGGAAAGGGGAGGATTTGCAGGGGCCGAAATGATAACATAGATCTGAGTCACAAGCAGCAGTGATATCATGCAATAAGAACAAGAAGTGATGTGGTCTTTGGGTAGACGCTAGTTGGTGCGTAAGAGGACACTCAGAGGCAGGAGATGTGAAGATCATGAGCCAGTTGTCTAAAAATGAGGCAGGTGACGGGTGTTTGGTCGGGAGAGCGCTGGTGGTTGTACAGGATGAATACAGGTGCGGTCACAG